GTTTAGGGAAGGAAACTACCATCCTTACCTGGGTTGGCCTACATGTGACTCTAAACCCAAAGCAATATAGTTGATTCTTAACTGCTCTCTGAGCAATTCGTGATGAGAAATAAATGCTGACCTAGTCTGTGATGCCCACATCTCTAGTATGAATAAAACTGCAAGTGATATTCCAGATGCAGCCTAACCAAACTTGTACATGATAGAAATAAGACTTCACAACTCCTGTACTCAAATCCTCTTGCATTAAAAGACTAATATCCTATTAGCCTTCTTAAAACTAACAATGGTGGAGGAATGGCATTAGTGGAGGCAAAAAGAGACTTAACAGTTTGAGTCTTGTATGGTTCTTCTTCAGAGATTTTGTTCGAGACCTTCCTAATAGCTTACTACACCTGCATGTTAGCCTTCAGTGACTTATCAACAAGGACATCTAGGTCCCTTTGTACATGTACACTTTCCAACCTCTTACCATTTAGAAGAAATAGTCTGCACATCTGTTCTTGCTATCAAAACAGATAACATTTTCCCCCACATCATTATGCACCTGCCATCTTCTTGAATATTCACCAAACCCGTCCAAATCCTCCTACAGCCACTAAATATCTTCCTTACAACACAGTACAAGGAATGAGATAAATGAGCTTGTGGCGCAGATCGAAACTGGCAGGTATGACGTGGTAGGCATCACAGAGATGTGGCTGCAAGGGGATCAGGATTGGGAACTGAATATCCAAGGATATACATCCTATCAAAAAGATAGGCAGGTGGGCCGAGGGGGTGGAGTTGCCTTATTAGTGAGAAATGAAATTAAATCAATAAGAAGAAACGAAGTAGGGTCAGATGGTGTAGAATCTCTATGGGCAGAATTGAGGAACCGAAGGTTAAAATGAAAAAACCACAGTTGGGGTTGTGTACAAGCCTCCAAACCGTGGTCAGGACCTGGGGCGCAAGATCCACCAGGAGATAGAAAAGGTGTGTAAGAAAGGCAAAGTCACAGTGATCATGGGGGATTTCAATATGCAGGTGGACTGGGAAAATCATGTTGGTAGTGGATTGCAAGAAAAGGAGTTTGTGAAACGTCTACAAGATGGCTTTTTGGAGCGGCTCATGGTGGAGCTCACAAGGGAACAGGCAATATTGGATTTAGTGTTGTGCAATGAGGCAAACTTGATAAGGGAGGTTAAGGTAAAGGAACCCTGAGGAGGCAGTGATCATAATATGATAGAATTTACTGTGCAATTTGAGAGGGAGAAGATAGAGTCAGAGACAACGGTATTACAGTTGAATAAAGGCGACTACAGAGGTATGAGGGAGGAGCTGGGCAGAATTGATTGGAAGAGGAGCCTAGCAGGAAAGACAGTGGAACAGCAGTGGCAGGAGTTTCTGGGAGTAGTTCAGGAGATGCAGCAAGGATTCATCCCTAGGAAAGAGAAGCATGGTACAGGGAGGATGAGGCAACTATGGCTGACTAAGGAAGTCAGGGATAGCATAAAAGCAAAAGAGAAAGCATATAATGTGGCGAAGGGCAGTGGGAAACCAGAGGACTGGGAAGCTTACAAAGACCAGAGGGCAACAAAAAAAAAAGTAAGGAGGGAGAAGATAAAATATGAGGGTAAGCTAGCCAGTAATATAAATGAAGACTATGAGTTTCTTTAGATATATAAAGGGTAAAAGAGAGGCAAAAGTGGACATTGGACTACTGGAAAATGACGGTGGAGAGATAGTAGTGAGGAACAAGGAAGTGGCTGAGGAGCTGAATAATTACTTTGTGTCAGTCTTCACGGGGGAAGACATGAGTAACATCCCAAAATTTCAAGAGTGTCAGGGGACAGAGCTGAGTATGGTGGCCATCACTAAGGAAAAAGTGCTAGTAAAACTGATTGGCCTGATAAATCACCTGGACCAGATGAACTACACCCCAGGGTTTTAAGGAGATAGCTGAAGAGATAGTGGAAGCGTCAGTGGTAATCTTTCAGGAATCGCTAGAATCAGGGAGGGTCCCAGAGGACTGGAAAATCGCTAACGTGACACCCCTGTTTAAAAAGGGAGTAAGGCAAGAGATGGAAAATTACAGGCCGATTAGCCTAACCTCGGTCGTGGGTAAGATTTTGGAGTCCATTATAAAGGATGAGATTTCTGAATATTGGAAGTACATGGTAAAATAGTGCAAAGTCAGCATGGTTTCATCAAGGGGAGGTCATGCCTGACAAATCTGCTAGAATTCTTTGAGGAAGTAACAAGCAGGGTAGACCAAGGAGACCCAATGGATGTTATATACCTGGACTTCAAGAAGTCCTTTGATAAGGTGCCACAGGAGGCTGCTGAGTAAGATAAGGACCCATGGTGTTAGAGGCAAGGTGCTAGCATGGATGGAAGATTGGCTGTCTGGCAGAAAGCAGAGAGTGGGGATAAAGGGGTCTTTCTCAGGATGGCAGTCGGTGACAAGTGGTATTCCGCAAGGGTCAGTGTTGGGACCACAACTTTTCACTTTATACATTAATGATCTAGATGAAGGAACTGTCAGCATTCTGGCTAAGTTTGTAGACGATACAAAGATAGGTGGAGGGACAGGTAATATTGAGGAGATGGCGAGGCTGCAGAAGGACTTGGACAGGTTAGGAGAGTGGGCAAAGAAGTGGCAGATGGAGTACAACGTGGGAAAGTGTGAGATCATGCTTTGGTAAGAAGAATAAAAGCATGGACTATTTTCTAAATGGGGAGAAAATTCAGAAGTCTGAAGTGCAAAGAGACTGAGGAGTTCTAGTCCAGGATTCTCTCAAGGTAAACTTGCAGGTTGAGTCAGTAGTCAGGAAGGCAAATGCAATGTTGGCATTTATTTGGAGAGGAGTTGAATATAAAAGCAGGGATGTATGACTGAGACTTTATAAGCCTCTGGTCAGGCCACATTTGGAGTAATGTGTGCAGTTTTGGGCCCCATATCTCAGGAAGAATGTACTTGCCCTGCAGTGGGCTCAGAGGAGGTTCACGAGAATGGTCCCAGGAATGGAAAGCGTAACATATGAGGAACATTTGAGGACTCTGGGACTATACTCATTAGAGTTTAGAAGGATGAGGGGGGAGTCTAATTGAAACTTACAGAATACTGAATGGCCTAGACAGAGTGGATGTTGGGAAGATGCTTCCATTGGTAGGAGAGACTAGGACCTGAGGGCACAGCCTTAGAGTAAAGGGAAGACCTTTTAGAACACAGATAAGGAGAAACTTCTTCAGCTAGAGAGTGGTGAATCTATGGAATTCACTGCTACAGAAGGCTTTGGAGGCCAGGTCAGTGAGTACATTTAAGACTGAGATAGATAGGTTCTTGATTATCAAGCGGATCAAGGATTATGGGGAGAAAGCAGGAGAATGGGGTTGCGGAACTTATCAGCCAAGATTGAATGGCGGAGCAGACTTGATGGGCCGAATGGCTTATGTCCTATGTCTTATGATCTTATGGTCTTACATTCACACTTAGCAAAATGCGGAAATATTACATTTGGTCCCCAATTCCAAACAAAATATTGTGAACTGCTTGGGGCCAAGTACTGATCCTTGTGGTACCCCACTAGTCACAACCTACTAATGCAGGAATGACTCAAATTAACAGTCAGAAAACAAACATTACTCCGTGCCAAGACATTAGCTCCTATCTTTTGTGCTTTAAATTTTTGAGCAGCTCCTGTAAGGAGCCTTACCTAAAGCTTAACAATCAAAGCATACTACATCCATTTTGTTAGTAACATCTTCAACAAAAATCTCCAGCGAGTTTGTCAAATGTGATTCCCCATTCACAAATCCATTCAACTATGCAGATCATTATCAACCAGATGTCTATTGATCCCATCCTTTGTAATAGATTCTAGCATTTTTCCTACCACTGATGCAAGATTAACAGATCCACAGTTTCTTGTTTGCTTTCTCGCTTCCTTCTTAAAAAGTGGAGTGAAATTTGCTACCTTCCATTTCACAGGAATCATTTAAGAAACTATATAATCTTGAAGGACAATTATCAAAGCATTGACTATCTTTCTATCCACTTCCTTCAACAATCGAGGATGTAATTCGTCAGGTTCTACAGATTTATCAACTTGCAGCCCCATTAGTTTCTCCAATTCAGTCTTCTTGCAAATGTTAATTTCCTTCAACCCTCCATTCTCCCTAGCCTCCTGGATCACTAGTTTTGGGATTTTTGAGTGTCTTCCCCAGTCAAAACAGACAAAGCAATTATTTAACTTCTCTGCCATTTCTCTATTTCCTGTTATAAAATCTTCTGATAATAGGCGCTCACTCATTTTAGCCAAACATTTCCTTTTCATATAACTATTAGAAGCTTTTACACTCCATCTTCATATATTTATATTTTTGCTAGATGACATTCATTTTCTATTCTCCTTTTCCTGGTAATCCTTTAATTATATTTTCTGAACTTCCCAATCCTCAAAATTACTGCAATTTTGAGCAAATTTAGGAGGCCTTTTCTTATAAACTTGTGCAGTCCTAAACTTCTTTTGTTAGCCATGACTGAGTAACTGAGTTTTACACCTTGAAGGAATATGGATACCTTTTAAAGAACTACACATTACTTATACACAGTCATGCCTTTTAATGTATTTTCCCAATCCACCTCAGCCAATTTGTGCTTCATGCTTTCATTTGTTCCCTTTTTCAAATTTAATACCCTTGCTTCAGATTGATTCATACTTTCTTTAATTTCATTCACCTAATGCCACTTTGCTTCTGCATCAAAGAACTGTTAAATTTAAGTAGGACAGCAATCTTCTCATGCTCTGTCTACATAACTTTTTTCCTAGTTCTATTTATGCTGTTGTTACTGACATGTCCCACCCCCGCTGGATCCCCTTCCCACCGCTATTTCTCTCTAGTCTGTGTTTAAATATTTCCATAATTAATAATATTAATATTTATTTTTGGGGCTGCTTGTCTTATATGTTTAAAATGAAGTTATGAATAAAAACAATTCACTGAAAAAAACTTACCACTTTCATCATAGTACTGTCCTCTTTCCAAACAGCAACAAATCCAAAGACAGCCATGAAAAAAATGAGGACACCAGCAATCATGAGTACAGCAGGAACCAATTTACTAGCCAGTAAAGAAATGGGGTATAGATTCAAATGAATTGAAGCACCCAGCCACATAAGCTCAATACCGAACACCTAGAAAGAAAACATTTTAAAGAAACTTCTGCAAGGTTACATATTTGAAAACTTGTAATTGAACAAGTTTATACACAGAGCAGGAGGCACGGTAAATGCTCCTTATCACATATTATTCAACCTGTCTCCCGCTTTGAATTAGACAATAGAGGAAAATAAGCTGGGGATATTTAAAAAGTTACTATGTTTACTGCTAGAGTGTCAAAATACTGTAACCTTAATCTACTTTAGGCAAATCAATAATTAGATGGAATAAAACTGGTTCTTCACCTTAAAATTATTGTTCCAGAAGAAATTGATTTTAAAGGAATTCTTTGAAACTTCAATTGATTATTTTGCTTATTCAAATAGTGGCCCATATTGAGCACAAATGGGAAGAAGAAAACAGAGCAGACATGTTTGACCATAACCCCTTCTCCAATAAAAGACACAATAACCAACTGAAGAAAAATTATGCAATATCCCTCCCAATTTCAAAGACATGAGGTAAACGTACTTTCCATTGCTAGTTCTGCAAGCACAAAAAGCTTTGAAGAAAAAAAATCTCAGGATTAAGAGAAATTCAGACTTGACAGATTAATCAATTAACCAGGCTTTTTTCCCTCCAAATTAATCTGTTGAGACATGTTATGACACATTTGAAGCAGGATGAATTTTAACCAGAATATTTTGGCCTAGAGGCAAGCACATTATACTGTCCCTCAACTCCCATCATTAACCAGGATACATGCTGTTGAGTGCCATGTAAAAAAGTGTACATTCATCAATACAACTAACTAGCCTTACTCTGTCCCACATTTGTACTAATTGGTTGGCGGACTCTGAAACGCAAAGGAAATTATAAACGTACTGGTTTCAAGTGACTACAAATGTAGCGTGGGGTTCACTAACAAGTTGACAATGAGCTCATCACCTTACTAAAAGGAAGCAAAAAAAAAACACCCAGCGAGCATAGAGCTAAATTGCATGGGAGGTAAAAAAAAAAGTCAGTGCCTGGGATTTTAAAGTAATCTCCCTATGCCTGATCTCGAAGGGAGGCAGGGAGCAAGCAAGCAAGCACCCCACATCTAGGGGAGTTGGGGTTTGATTTTGCTTCCCTACTGATCAAGGCTAAATTTTTGACTTTTTTAAAAAAAAAGTGTGAGAGGGAAAATCTCATTCATTGCTTAAAAATTAGGCTAGTGATAGTCTGTTCTGGAATAGCAATAACGCGACGACAAATTGCGTCCCTTGTATTTGCCACTTGCAATATCCATATTGCAAGCTGTAAAGAAGCGATTCAAAATAAGAGTCACTTTTTTTTTTAAAACAACCACACCGAATTATTAACAAGTTCCAAGGAAGTAAGTGGGAGGAATTGAAAGTACTATTTGATTACAGCAACGTATTCGGAGATGGAGTCTTTAGCATTTGAAAGTAAATCAGGATTTTCGTTGACAAAAAAACATAATTGATGAAAAAAAATTCAAGAATTACTATGAAGTACTTTTGGGCCAGTTTGTATTAATTAAGAATGATACGATTGGTTACATTCAAATGCTTGAAAAGAATGTGTAAAGGTTACTGGCAAAGTCCCATTATTCATTTTACATGTTTCAACAGAGGAACTTATGGAAGAGCGAGGAAGACATTTAAAACACGAAAATAAAATCCATTAACTAGAATGATCAGGTTCGTTATTATTGCTAGTTAACAGAAGCTAACCAGCACTTTATTTTAACCTATCTTTCTAATCAACGAATCACTTGGAAGAGAGTCAAATTTTTGTAAAAGACATGCGCAACGAAAATGCATTTAACAAAAATTACCAAAAAGAGCAGGTTAAGAACAAACAGGATGATTTTAAAAATCACTATCCCGTCTCCCGACTTCATCGTTAACCAGACAATTGGACCCTAAATTTGGCTAACCTAATGATTATATGGCTTACACGTGCCCAGCGTCCAAATCCTCTTTCCTGTTCACCAATGAAAACACGGCTAATTAACCAGGGAGATAGTAGGAACTGCCGATGCTGGAGAATCTGAGATAACAAGGTGTAGAGCTGGATGAACACAGCAGGCCAAGCAGCATCAGAGGAGTTTTTCTGAAGAAGGGTCCAGACCCGAAACGTCAGCTTTCCTGCTCCTC